GATATCACTCCGGCTAAGGCCATGATCAGCTTGCTGAGGGAGTCCTGACGGTGTAAGCATCGGAGTCCGACCTTATCCTCCAGCGGTACAATGATACACATAATATAATTGTCAGTCGTTCTGCCCACCCTGACACCGTCTTCAAACACAGATCCATTCGAAGGAGTCATCCTCGGAATGGCCAAGACATGATCAGAGTGCTGTTCCGACTACAGCTCGGATACAGAATGAATTTTTGTTGCTTGTACCGTGGACCCAGCCGCGTCAACGGGAGAATCAGCGAGGCAACTGTTTTGAAGATTTCCAAGACCAAGACTCACATCTCAGTCGAAGAACAGCACCATCAAGTTGTGTTTGAGTTCCCAGTAGTGGCAGATGCCGAACTCGCAGGAGTAGCAGAGCCAAATCTTGCAAGAGTGTCGGTCAAGAACCACATTCCTGATGGAGCCAACACAGTGTATCTCTACAGTGGCAGTTCAATTCGAACTGTCATGAACCAGTACATGATTGTCCGCAAGCCGCTATCTCCCAGACCAATGGAGATGGCCACCAATGTTAGAAGCACCAAGCTTACCCAAAAAGGCGACACCCCTTACGGAAATTGTTATGCCAATCCAGGAGTCATCGCCAATATCAACGCTTTTTCTCTTGTTGTGGATTACTGCGTCTGGGCACAGGATGGATCCTTTGTCATCATGGACTCAAGAGTAGACGACGCCATTTACCACTACCGCCCAACTGTGATCCATACCAGTTATGGACGGACCGCCAAAAGTCTGTATGGCGTGCTGATTAAGCAAACCTGCTGGATCACATGGCCAACTCAACCAGTTTTCTCCGGAGTTCCAGCATTTGTCCAGACGTGGGAGGGCACTCGAAAGCTTTACCAAGAAGCAAGACAAGGGTGCATTCCTCGCAAGAAATCTGTACAACAACCTCCAGCGCCCATCTTTGAAGGGATACCGCAACATGAACAGGACTGGTCAAATTCGCGACTGTCCCGTCAAGCTGGAAGACATCGATCGCGCTGAATTACTTTTCGGGAGCGACATGGGCAAAGCCAAGGCTCTACTACACGCAGACGCCCGCACCAGTGACCGACAGTAATCATACTGTACCGGATGAGCTGGTGGCTCCACACAGGTTCTTGACCCGATGCATGGATGTGTTTTATTTCTGTGAGATTGCCTTTCTGGCATTCACTGACTTGACAATCCGACACCGCGAATCAGCCTACATGACAAACAGGAAAGGAAAATCCTTCTATTCCGCCATTGACAAAATTTTTGATCAGTACGGAAATAATGATTTAAAAATCCAAGAAATACAGTGCGACCTGGAGTTCAAGAGCTGATGATCCTGTCAAAAACGAACTTGGAGCTCAAGACTCAACCAAGGAGCAGCTCACTCACATTGGTCCCGCGAGCGGAACATCCGGACCTTGAAGTGAGCGCTTCCGCGCAGCCTGGCATTCAACCCCGTTCTTGGTGATTTTGCCAAAAGGTGAATTGTAATTGGTGTACGAGTTAATTGTACACTCAACCTCTTCACCCGCGCTTGATGGAATCTCTAAAGTGTATCCTTCCCAGGCGAATCTTGGAGGGTCGGACCAACAAGCTACAAAGATGATTCAGTACACCTTTTGTGAGCTATTGTCTCGCTTCCAACGAACCAGACAAGCTCAATCCATGGAGCCCACGGCGATGTGAATTGCATCTATACTCACGTCCATTGATCGGACAACAACCAAGGTGGACACAGTGTGATGGACTCTCACTTTTGAGGTGATCACGCGACAGCATGTCCGACATCCGCCGATTGCCTCGCCCAGTCATTGATGCTGTCGAAAAGAAGGCTTACGGTGAGTCAAGAAACACTAATCTTTCACAACCTGTGACTGTGGAATTTTTTCCTGTAGGTTTGCCTGCATCAGGAAGTGGATGGTGTCTATGGAAATGAGAGCTACCTCAATCTATGGAGACTCTTCGGATGAAGATTACAGTGGAATCCCTCCACGGAAATAGTGTTGGTGTTCTAGTTAACACTCTAGCATTAGTAAGAGTTAAAATACTGTTTTACTTGTTAAGCTATTTCCAAGAAGTTATCTTTTCCATGTTTTTTTGGGATTGATTCAACTTCAAAGATATAGTGAGGGGGTGACACAATAGAGTCAGTTAAACTCCCCATGTAAGTAACTAGAGAAAAGATATAGATATTCCACTATAAACTAGATTGGGAAAAACGATAATTTTATTAGGTGTCTGTAATACAACACTACAACAACACTCCTGCACGGTTCCATAAAGGATACCGTGAAAACGGGGAATAATTAATGTAATGATGGTTGGCTCCATAAGGTAACAGTTGTTGCAGGACCACTTGCTAGGTGCTCGGCATTCCGCTAGGTGGCGAGAAGCTTGTCACCCATAGCAGTGCTGACAAATCCTGTCACAGTCAATGTGGACATGTGGACAGTTGATGGCTTCTTCCTCTGTAGAATTGAACCCCTACCCCTCCCCTAGAAGGGTATCTTCATCCACCACGACCACCTCTTCTCTGGAATCTCATGGTCTTGCTGGTGTGGAATGCACTCTTGTGCTTCTTGTTCTTGGAACTAACTTGTGTTCTCTGAAGTCTGTTGGATACTCCTGCAGGAAGGTACTCTCACGACAGGGCACTACTCTTGTATGTTGCCTGATAAAACTTCTTGTTGGCTGGATAGGCTCTTCTTTATTGGTACTCTTTAACCTGTTGGCTGGATAGCCTCTGTTGGATTCAACGCTCACGTAATTCCAGAGAGAACTCGTGGTTTCTTTATGGAGCCTTGGGTAGTAGCGAACTGCTCTGTCGGTCTCCTGTCTCTGCTTTCTTGCATGCAGGACCTTGTATTATGTTAGATGAGTGCACTGTAGTGAGTAACAATGACTGGAACAGTTCTCTCGTGAAGATTTGGTTTCCTCGTGATACTTATGAGCTTCCTCGTGATTTTTGTGTTTCTCTTCACGGTAGCACTGTATCACTCGAATCAACCTATCTCACTCAATTCTTGGAGTTAGAAGCTTGCACTGATACTCAGAGATGCGGCTAGATGTCCTCTATCGATTGATGTATGGGACCTCTTGCTTGCGACGTCTGTGTCAGGATCTATCTTGATCCCCGTGCGTTGACTTCTGCTCGTTGTGATGAGACGGATGAAAATCACGAAATCTCGCGCGATGACGTAATCAAGCTTCAACTCGCTTGAATAAGAGCCGGATTTCCTTGCTTCCAGCACGTAACCTGTTCAGTTCACCGTGCTTGTTTCATGGTACCCTTGGATGTCCAGTATCCGGCCGGAAACTGTTAGACGATCTCACGTACTGGTACCTGTGACTGAAGATGGGATTTCCCGCGCACCTCTTTCCTGTTAGATGCCTTTCGATGCTCTTATAGTGTAGCTGTGTGCAGTATTTGCGCACCTCTCCTCTGTTGCAGGTGTTAACTCAATACACTTTGACTCAATACACTTTGACTTGATATGTTTACCTTGATATCGATCTCGAGATCGGTAGTAGCTCGAGATGGCCTTTTGCTTTCAGTGTTACTAGTAATACTGCAGCTTATTGGGGTAATTTGGTTTTGGATTAAGCTGAAAAACAAAAGTGAGGATTTTCTGTGGTGCATAGCAATTCTTGTGATTGAATTGGATATAAGGACCCCCGTAGCACTTTAGACCTAAAACTCCTTGGTTCCTTGCATGATGAATTTACATGCGAACCGGACTAGATGATTAACACACGAGTCAATAGTAAAGAGGTGTCAGTATGTTTCCTCCAACAGAGGGTACCACCTCCTACGGGCTCTGCTGGCATCTTGCCTTGCATGCCAGGCCCTTGCCACAGCTTGGGACCTGATCACCCAGACGAACCTTACTGGCGAGCACTCTTTGGTCTGGCAATCTAACTGTCCTCACGGTCCCTTTGATAATTGGTTTCAATACCGACAAAAATCCTGTGTAAGCCCCTGTAACCCAGGTTTTGCGCTGCAGGTTCCCTATCAATGTGCTCACCCCCCTACCCAAGGCATCTGTCTACTTGGTGCTGGCTCACGTTGGGCCAGTGGATGAGGTCATGTTGATTGGGCAAATAAGTAGATGACGACTCAGCTAGGTGGGGGCTTCCCCACCCATTGCCCGCGTCACAAAAGCCACTCCGTGGCCATAGTTTGTTAAACTAACGAGTAATTTACACCCCTCATACGTACAATGAAATAACGAGGTGTGTGGCACGATTTTTGCAAGCCATTGTGCAAACGTATAGTGAAATAGTAGGATAGTGGTTTGCGAACACGACATACTACTCCCAGTTACTGGCTCGCTTTCAGAACTCCAGGCACTGTAGTACGCTACACACAAGAGTGTGCTTTACCACAGGAGGCTACTGTAACTGTGTTTTCCCTCAAGTTTGGAGCTGATGCCCTTCTACAGTATAAGCTAGATAATAACACGGTGTGTAGCAAGGCTACCATGGTGGAACCTTTTGGGCACTGTTTAGCTGAGCACTGCTCTTTAGTGGTTCTATAGCTAATAGTGGTGTCAACAGTGACATTGATGATTGGTGGGGAGAGATATGGAGAAGCAATACAATCAAACCTCCCATCTCTCCAGAATGTCTTCTTTCAAAATCACATCAAAGAGGGCAACTCCAATCAATTAATTTGTTGCCTGGTCGATCTCGGCATTCTGGTCTTCTTCAGACCTCAAAAGCTGCGCCGAGAGTCAGTTGATTGCGGGCTGGACCTGTTGGCGGAGGAACGCGTGGAGGAAGAACCGGTGCTTTTCACTCGAGTGCCGTTATGCCTATTTTCTATCGAGCTTTCTGCTGAATCAGACTGAGCGACATCTGGATAATCAGTTCGCAATTGCTTTTCATTTCTGTTATTGTTGGGAACAGGACCAGTGTGTCTCTGCCCGGCTCCTGTTGGACGAGAAGAGTTTGCGCCGGTGGTGTTACTACCAAGCGTTAACGGACCCCTTCCGCGGAGGAGCTCGCCCTGATCCCCTCCGGGTTCCGGCCTAAAAAAACGGATGTTCCAACCTGTCGCATCGATGTAAATTGCTTGTTGAGGTCGTGGTGAAGCAGTTGTCGGAGCAAGTCACGAGCGACATCGTCGTCCTGAACATGCTTGAGCGCCTTTTTGACACTCTGCTCGTCCCACATACCGATCTTGCAAACCTCTAATGCGTTCATGTCTCTCTTACCGCGGCAAGCATAAGGAGAGAGCGGCACCTTCGCAATGGCTTCGTAAATGACAACACCATAGGCCCAGGTGTCATAGGTTGGATCAGCGCTAGCTACGGTGCCACCGCCAACAGTGTCTACTACTGCTGGAACGCCTCCACCCAGTGTTCGACGAAGTACCAACGACGATACTGCCTGGTACATTATTGGAGGCTCCGTGGCTTGTACAGCCTTCTGCGTCTGCTTTTGCTGCTGCATTTTACCCCTGATCATCTTTTTGGTCCTCTTCTTCACGGTCTTGGCGCATTCGGACGAACTAACTAACAGTTTCGACGATGACTTTTGGAGCAACAATAACTTCGATGATTGAAATTAACAATTTGCCAGACATGGAAGACAACGTGAATCGACTCGATTTGGCTGCCTTGTTCCACCTACCACCTTTTTCTAAAGAGCCATTTGGTTTGCTCGAGCAAAGCATCTTGGGACGCCTGCCTACGGGCAAAACAATCAACTGTGCAGCTCTTCACTAGTGAGACTGAGTCGAATGTGGAGCATCTACTAAAGCAGCACATTGCTGGCCCAATTGCTCAGATCTACCAGCTATACCAATCCACACTTGCAGACATGAGACACTTCTCCAGCTGTCGGACTAGTCGAATTACGTATGTACAACATCCACTAGATCAAAAAATTTAGCTATACAATTTTCTTAAGTAAAGTACCATCTTCCAATGACCAATCCAACCCCATCCAACGACCAATATCAACATGACAGAGTCGACGGCACCCAATCGGACCGCCATTTTATCATCTATATCGTCTCGTTACCCTCTGAACTGATAGCAGCAGCGAAGGTTCCATCAAAATCCGTCAACTCTACAGTTCATAGCAACTGTTGGCTATCCAAGCGTAAACTACACGCATCACTAAGCCCTTTATCGATCTCATCATCTTCCAACCAACGCCCTTTCGACAGAGGGAAACCATCAACAGACGCTACGATGAACGAACCGGCTACCACCAACGACAAAGCCTTACTAACCTCTGAGACGGCCAACAATACTACTGCCAAAGATTCCGACATCATTCCGAACGACTACGTTGAAACAAAAATTAACCCAAAAACGTTTGATATCTCCTCACAACTGAATGAATCTTATGCCACTGTCTCCAAACAACCCTTTCTAGCTCAATTTGGGGAAGGACCTAGGTTCCTACATGATTGTCTGCAGAAGATGTCAAAAATTGCGGCCAAAATGACGTACCGTACAGACAAACTCACTGACCCCCAGATCCAAAACCTCAGTCGTCACGGCCTCACTGTAAGCAACTGGATTCTCGCTGCCTCCTGCGCTGCGACCAATGCAGATGTCTTCACCAAATACATCACCGAAAACCAAGACGCTGTGGCATTCAAAATATTCATCAATCGTCTCGCACACACTCCACCACAAGTCCTATTCCCTGGTCAAATCAAAAACAGCAGAATGAAAGCGTACAACGCATCGAACGCTTGGTACGGTGCTATCCAGGCACTTGGAAGTTGGTACCAAAAAATCAAAAAACAGAAACAGCTTACGTTGCAGAACGCATGGTCGAAAAAACCAAAAATCACACCGGCATCCACGTCGACAGACAAGCCCTCAACAAAACTCGTCAACTTCCAAGATGAATCCTCAACCAAAGCATCAGCTACTGCTATGGCAACAGCCACTAGCATGAATATCGATCGGCCTACACCTTCCACAAACCCACCACCAGCACAAACTCCAGCCCCTGCACCACCCCTGGCCCCACAAACCAAGGCAAAAACAACAGCTGAACAACGATACACGAAGACCCGTGTTACAATGAAATTCAAAATTCCCTCTACTGAGGACTCGGAGGGCAAAGGTGCCAATGAAGTGACTCTCAACCTTATTAAAAGCATGTTCATCGCCATGAAAGACCGCGAGGATTCTGTTGCAATTCTCCCATGGACCATCTCTGACATGAACAAGCTTCCGGCCATCACATCTATCCAACGATTCCCAGCCAAGATTTCAGAAATGAAGGCCTACACGGACCGTATCCGTCCCAAGAGCAATAGCACTTGCTGGTTCAAGATGCACCTTGCAAGCAACGGAGATAAAGAACACTTTACAAGCTCCGACAAAAGTGACAACTCTGACTGGTTTGACGATAATGAATCTGCCGCATACTTCTGCACAGTACAAAACTCCGACGATCCAGTTTCATTGGGGGACTTCCTATTCTCCGGTGCTTTCTCAGATCCTGTTCGAATTGCGGATGTGATTCACAAAATGTGTCAGACAACATACAATAAAACCCTCCACTTCGGCTGCAGAGTAAGGAAAGTCAAGGAAATAGACTCCACCCTGTCCAAACCTAGAGTCTGGACCATGGCAGACAATCAAATGGTACATATCGAAGTGGACCGGAAAGAGGCAAAAACCCTTCAGAAGATTCTCCACAAACACTTCAACAAGACGGACGATCCTAAAATGCGCCCGGGCGGATACAATTTCAGAGTGCTACCTGATAAGAAACTTATTCTCTCAAGTCCCAAAGGTGAAAGAAGCCGTACAAAGATGCTCAAGAAACACCAGGCAGTTGTTCAGTCACTGGTCCTGATCAAAGGCGAAGACATCAAAGAGCTGGACGAGGAATATTCCTTCCAAGGCGAATCTTTTACTCTCAGACGTGTTCTTCTGGAACTGACGTTTCCCCTGATAGCTGTTGACGCCGACGACGACAAGCAGCGCCCCTCTCTCTTTCACTCGGTTGATTGGGCAAGTGCTGGAGCTGACGCAGGCAAGGATATCATTTATTGCACGGCATACATGGATCAAGCCGATACTGCCGGCCAAATCCTTCAGATCCTCCCAGCATATGTCGAATTCTATCTTAACCGTCAGGCTGTCACGAAGTGGTTCAACCACCAAGCAATTGATATCTGCAATGAAGTCACATTTGGTGCTGACGACGAAGGCAACTGGAATGGAGAATGGGAAACCTCTGAAGATGCCCTTCAGGAAGAACTCTTTGAAGAAGACATGGGCTATGATCTCCAAATCGATGGTCTTGACATCATCGATGATCGATGCAACATCCTCACAACAGATGATGCGTCCTTCAACACATTCGGTACATCCTTTGGAGCGAACCGCCCCGGTGAGCCACTCCTCGAAGGACACACTATCAACCCACCTGGAATGCAGCCAGAGGGCGCGGCAGCCCCTGCTGGTAATCCAGATTCTGAAACCACCGTGGAGGAGGAAGGTACTCCCGGTGGTATAGCCGCCTAGGCATCCACGCTCTGCCAGAAGACAGCCCTGGCTACGAGCGAATCCGGAAAACTTAGGCCGTCAATCATCCAGTACCAACAACTTCTACAATGTCATTTCCCAGTCAAACCCATACTTCGGTAGCGCCCCCACTCCATTGGATTGGAATTCCCTTCGCATTGGTTGCATCAATGTGGACAACATGCCACTGTCTTCTTCTGAAGCCAAAAATTCCTCCTTCTTCACAGCCGTTGTCAACCTTCAACTAGATGTCACTCTCATGCAGGAGATCGGCGTCAATTGGTCCGCCGTCCACCGACAGGATCAATGGTATGAACGTGTCAAAGATCAATTAGAACCACAGCAAACCAAGTCCTTCATGAGTTTCAACCGCCACGACTTAACCAACACCAAACACCAATGGGGCGGAACAGGCATCTTGTCCCATGGAAAACTCTCACACTATTCTATGGGAGCTGGCTCCGACAAAGCACAACTCGGTCGTTGGACATGGGCTCGATACAGGGGCAAAGATAATATTGTTCTTCGATGTGTCAGTATCTACCAACCATGCGAGAACAAATCCGAGGCAACGTCAGTGTGGTCACAACATCGCCGGTACCTCCAGGAGCACAATGACGACCGTGATCCTCGAACAGCATTCATTGAAGACCTTGATGCAGAGCTAACTGCATGGATTGCTATGGGAGACCAAATTGTGGTTGCTGGAGATGTCAATGAATCCGTCTTCCACCACTCCATCACCAATTTGTTTTCAAGACACAACCTGAGACACCTCATTTTTGACAAGTATGACGCCACGAATGCCCCGACTACGTACTTACGTACTCAATCCAATAGGATTGTTGATGGAATGTGGGGCACTCCCAATATACACATCCAACAAGGAGGCTACCTTGAACCGGGTGACTTCCCTGGCAACCATTCTCTCCTCTGGATTGATATCTCGTATCGAACTGCTCTTGGACATCTTCCTCCAGATCCTACTTCTCCTCAAGCCCGTCGCCTCCAACTCCATGACTCACGGACAACCAAAAAATACTTGGACAAATATGAATCCCTGGTGGAACAGAAACATAATCTCCGTCTCCGGCAGTTCTCCCTGGAAGCTTCCACAACCTATGGCTACCAACTTTCCCCCTGCCAACAACAAGAAGCTGAAGCCATCGACTTCCTCAAGACCAAGAGTATGCTTCTGGCAGAGAAAAAATGCCGCAAGTTGAAGATGGGTCGAGTGGGCTTCTCTGAGGCCACCGAACAACCAAAGAAACGAATAGCTTTCTGGGAAATAGCTATCCGACGCAGGAAAGGACTGACAGTCAGCGTAAGCCAATGGAACCGGAAGAAACGTGAAGCCCAAATCAATGAACCCACCGCCCCTCTCTCCCTGGACACCATGATACACAATCTTCAGCTGGCAAAGAAGGCATACCGGAAGGCAAAGAAACACCATAAAGAACACCGAATCCGCTTCCTTGACCAACTGAATCCCAAAGACCGACAACGACTAAAACGCAAGGAAGCTCAGCGGGAACTTGCCAGGGCTGCCAAACGTATTACTGGGAAGGCAGCTTCCAAAAGTGTCACCAGGGTCGAACACAATGGTCAAGAATGTACCACTCGAGCAGAGATTGAAGCTATCCTGGCGCAAGTCAATGAGTCCAAATACAGATCGTCCGAGGACACCCCCTTCCTTCAACCTCCCTTGCTGAGCGCTTTCGGCACTCAAGGGAACCTACCGGCTTCCAACCAAGTGTTAGCAGGCACATATCTTCCCCCAGTTGGCACCGACGTCTATACGGCACTACTGCTTCAACATCTCCGTCGCCCGGAAGTCTCTGATTCGTCTCGACCCCATTTTCAACCCCGTACCAGGATTTCTACAGACCACCATATTCGAGGATGGAGGAAAGCAAAAGAGAAGACTGCTGCTGGCCTCTCCCGACTACACTTTGGCATGTTCAAAGCCCACATTCAACGGCGTCGCCTAGCTGAAATTGATGCCTCTATGCGATCTGTAGCTTTCTCTACTGGATACTCCTACTCCCGGTGGAGAAAAGGATTAGATGTCCAATTACTGAAGAGGAAACGTGATTTTCGAGCAACAAAACTTAGAACAATTGGGATCCTCGAAGCTGACTTCAACATGAATAACAAAGTGGTGGGTGCTGATGCTATGCGTGCTGGCGAACGTGGAAAAGTTCTCACCCCGCATAACTATGGTGGTCGCAAGAAGCTCCGGGCAGTCGAAGTCAATATGAACCAACAGCTCACTTACAACAGTATCTGGGGGCGAAGAGGTCGTGCGATTATTATGTCAAATGATGCCAAAGGATGCTATGATCGAATTGCCCACGTCGTTCTGGATCTAGCCCTCCGTCGGCTTGGTACCCCGAAGCCTGCCCTCCAATCTATGATATCCACCATCCAGGAAATGACTCACCACGTTCAAACAGCTTTCGGTGTGTCAACCACATCATACGGCGGTCCACTACAGGCTGGAGTCCTCCCACCTCAAGGTGTTCTACAAGGGAATGGAGCTGGTCCAGCTGGATGGTTTGCTATCAGCACCGCGATGATCAATGCTATGTCTGCAATGGGGTTTGGTTACTCTCAATGGTCACTCATCCAACAAAGAGCCATTGAAATTGTCTGCTTTGCCTTTGTGGACGACACCGATCTCATCCACTCCAATGATGATCCTTCAACGTCCACCACTACTCTCATCCAACAAGCTCAAACGGCTCTCACAACTTGGCAAGGCCTGCTTCGAGCCACGTGCAATACACGGCTCTTAGCCTTATTCGCGACTCGATCCTAGATAGGGTTTGAGTTCGACTCATGACCGAGTCTCTCGTGAATAGTCATTTGAGACAGGGTTCTCAATGACCGCGCTAGTCATACTAGGTTGATGATGAAACATCGCTCTAGATATTTAGCCAGCGTGGAGTACTTCCACGCTACTAGATCCAGGCTAGACAAACCTTCCACGCGTTCCGTTTTAGGATCGTGGAGAGACGTAGGATTACTACCACAACCTACTCTATCACACTTTATAGTCTCCCGCGGGAAGCCAGATCTACGATCCTTTGATGATGATCTCTCTCGTTGATTAGTTTTCATAGCTTTCTAATCTCTCTCATAACTTTCATTCTCTCAAACTCAAAACACTCGAAAGATCTTTACACTAGCTTTTAGCGTAGTGCACACGGGTGGTAACCTTGCTCCAGAAAAAAGTTACTGGTATCTTGTTGAGGTCCAGCGCTCCAATGGAGCATGGCAGTATGTACCACCGTCTCCCTCCCATCCGCCTCTATACCTCCAGAACTCTGCTGACCCCGTTCCACAACTACCAGTCACCAAAGCACAAGAGGCCTTGGGCATCCAAATTCGTCCTGATGGCGACATGGCGGATGAGTTTCAATACCTGCGTGACAAAGCTATCGAATGGAGTGACACTCTGAGGATCAAAAAGCTCCGTCGGTCAGAAGCATGGTACTGCCTGACTAGCACGATTATGAAAACCATTGAGTATCCTCTTATGGCCACCTGCCTCTCTCGCTCTCAAGTTGATGACATTATGCGCCCTGTCCTACAAGCTGCTCTTCCACTAGCAGGACTACAGAAACGCCTCCCCCATAAACTTGTCTACGGCACTCTTCAATCACGTGGCTGTAATCTCAAAGACCCCTTCCACCTACAGCTCATCCACCACCTCCAAGCAATTCTCCGACACTCCAACAGAGATACTCCATCGAGTGCCCTTCATCAGGAAAATATGGAACTGGTACAATGTCATGTTGGGTCTAGCACATCCTTCTGGGACCTTCCATTCCCTCTCTATGGTGTTCTTGCTCCGAAAGGGTGGATGAGATTCACATGGCAATGTCTCTTTGACACCCCCTTATCCCTTCGAGGCCCCGACATCACCATCCCATCCAAGCGTACTGCAGATCAACACCTCATGGATGTATTTATGTCATGCGAGTATCCTCCTGAAACTCTCTTGATCCTGAACGACTGTCGTCTCTTTCTCCAAGCCACCACCCTCTCAGACATCTGTACAGCTGATGGGACCTCCATTGAATCATCAGCGTGGAATGGAAAACCATCTGAACATCGCCGCCAGACACACTGGCCAAAGACCTACCGTCCCAACAACCAGTCAGGAAAATGGGACATCTGGCGTCAAGCAATAAGAACTTCATTCCTCTTTCCACAAGCACACCACACTCGCCTCAAACAACCCCTGGGTCCATGGCTCAACAAGTATGATCAAGAATGGATTTGGTGGCGCCATCTTGCTAGTGATACACTCTACCGCCGGAAACTTGATGGATCTTGGTGTCAGTTCTCCAGAGCTCCACTCAGGTCTCGCATCCCCAAGTATACACACCCAACAGTGATCCACCAGGATGCCTTTCCTTCCAACTGCGTCCGTGTGAGTGTCGGCACATCTCCACGCTCAACATATGTGTCCCTCTTAAACTCAAGCTGTACCTCTGGCTACGTCTCCCCTGAGCCAAACACTCTCTCTGAAACACTTGCATCCTTACATCAAGATACCCACTGGGCTCTGTCAGCTATGTCTTACTCGGACGACGGCCTCACCATTGCTAATGCTCTAACCAACCACCAGGTCCTTGCAGTCAGTGACGGCTCGCTCAAACTAGGCCTCGGTACGTCAGCATTCGTCATCGAAGCTACCAACAATCCATACCGTATCTCAGGTGCAAATCAAGTTCCAGGGCCCATACTCCCAGGAGACTCCCATCGATGTGAACTCGCCGGACTCTTCGCCATTGTGCTTACCATTCACTGTGTCTGCACCCACCACCAAATCTCCCATGGGTCTGCACGTATCGCCTGTGACAACCAACAGGCCATCCACCTTTTTGATCCCGAATACATCCCAGACCCAAACCACCGACACTTTGATCTTGTCTCAGCCATTCTATCCTACACCAGATTGACTCCAATCATGTGGGATGCCTTCCACGTCAAGGGCCACCAGGATAACAAGTCTACTGCCACACAAACCCTCTCGAGAGCTGCTCAACTCAACATTGACATGGATCGGAAAGCAAAGCAATACTGGCGACACCTGTTCGTGCACAACCATAATCCTCCGTCCTTCGACCCTGCTTCCCTCCCCATTCACGGTGAAGGATGGCAACTATGGCAGGGCGACCAGAAAGTCATTAACCCATCCGTCAACAATCTATACAGTATCATTCAAGACCCAATATCTCAAAACTGGTGGATCCGCCATAACCATATACCCCCTCATCTCTCAACTGAACTAGACTGGTCTAGCTCAGCTGACGCCACAGCTAGACTTCCTCTCAGCAAACAGAAATGGGCGTTGAAATCTGCATCTGCCAACTGTGGTGTGGGCACTACCCTGGTGGAATGGGGATATCAACAAGATGCCCAATGCCCTCGATGCGGCGAGCTTGAATCTACTGCTCACGTTTTCCGTTGTAGGGGTGAAGGAGCTAATGAAATTTGGACAAAAGGCATCCATCAGCTGCAAGTTTACCTCGACAACAACATGACAAACCCCCGCCTTTCCAGTCTCCTTGTCGATTGTCTATCCCGGTGGCGAAATTTCCAACCAATCTCACCAGACTCATTTCATCCGTCCACCAGAGAATTGGTTCAACAACAACATCTCATAGGGTGGCAAAACCTTCTTGAGGGACTCCCTACCAAGCTATGGCGACGTATTCAACATGATTACTACTCTCAACAAGCTATCCGTCGCTCTAGCCGCCGGTGGATTCGAGGCCTCCTCCTCAAACTTCATCACCTTGGCTACAGTATGTGGAAACACCGCAATGACGTCAAACACAAGACTATTCGTCCTCGCCATCAACGTGCCAGACTTCTCCTTGACCAAGAGATTGTTACTGAATACATTAAAGGCACCACACAACTACTCCCAGGTGATCACGGCATGTTACGCCACAATCTTGCTACACTGATTGCTAAACCACCTTCCTTCAAAACGGCTTGGCTGCTCAATATTACTACAGCTCGACAACGATATCAACGCATTCAACAACACGACGACTCCTTATGCACCATCTCTGAGAATACTTCCCTCCTTCTACAGTGGATGCGCGGCATACCTCCTTGACAATAGAACCCCGTACTGGAAACTTACCTCTGGAGATGTTTTTTGAGGGAATCCTCTCCAATATACCTATCCTCAACGTCTCCTATCTTCTTATTCTGTGCAACCCAACATGATCTTCTAACATCCAAAGAGATGTTAGCTTAACCAGAGTGTTGTCAAAGTCTCCTCGAGACGACAAGTGATTAGACGAAGCCTTAGAGTAGTCAGTAAGCTTGTAAATGAGTCCGTTATTATTACTTGCAGACATGAGACAAATGATAACTCGATGTTGCCCTGATACCTTTTCATCTACCATCTCAGCTGTCACTCCTTCTCCAGTTGCTAGGAGAGAGGAACCAAACAACGATTCTCCATCTGAACCATCACTAACTTTGGCAGAAGGTAGGACCCCACGAAAGAGACAAGAATACAGGCGACGCACACACGAGTCAAGCGATGGCAACAGTTGAGTAGATCCAGTTCTGCTCAGTGACAAAGGCTGCAAGACATTTGCTGATTATTGGAAGGTTTGGGTGGAGAAGTGGCGCCCACTGGAGACTGAAACTGAAGGAGCATCGAGAAGTGACTTGCATGGCAGTGGTGGTCAAAGGCAGTGGTAGTGCAGTAGTCACATCGGAGTCCGATGTTTCGTCTGATGCAGCACCTCGTGACCGAAAAGGACAGGCCATTGAGGAAGGAACGACAATATACAGCAGTATCTCTAGAAAAAAGGGAAGGGACAAGCCAAATATAAAGGATGTCGGTAAGAGATTCAAGGAAGAACTGGTCAAGCATGGCATCAACTTGAGAGGTCGTCCAAAAGGAAAACGCAAAGAATCGTCCAATGACAGTCGACCGGCTAAAAGAAAAAAGAATAACAACCCAACAAACCACGGTGCCAGTGAAACACTCAGTGTTGATACTCAGAGAGGGACAATGGCAATTCCAACAGCACATATGGCGGCAGGGTATCCAGAACCACGACCACTGAGAATGAATTTGAGGCTGTATTTGGGCCACTGATTGACAATAATCCTCGGCTGCGCGACATTTTTGATTGTGTCATGGATGAGAGTCTACAACAGCAGCAGCAATATGCAGAGCAAAGAGAGCTAGAGAGGAACCAACAGCAGGAGCGCAATGCACAACTGAGATGGGAATAAGACAATCAGAACTGGCCAGTTGGAGTTCCTTTGCCGCATATGCAGCAGGAGCGCAATGCACAACTGAGATGGGAATAAGACAATCAGAACTGGCCAGTTGGAGTCCCTTTGCCACCAATGCCTCCTGGATATGGAACAACCCATGCCCCACCATTTCGACCTGTTCCGGGACAGCCGGTGATTGAATTGCCACCCAACCACCAATACGCAGATGTGGAGGCTACACATTAGATATGGATAATGCATAATTTATTTTATTGCTATACGCTACCTTGTTTTGGGTGGAGAGTGTTTGCTTTTTGACACATTACCACCGCCGCGCAGCCGGTCGGGTACATGCACCGTTTTTGTAAACAGTGCATGCATAACATCTAGGCTTGGTCGTAGCAGATATCCATGATTTTGGAGTGGACAAAAAAGCTTTCCCGTATGCTCCATGGATTCCTCTGCAACAGTTTTGCATGACCTGCTCCGGGCTGTTGTTAGGTCGACTTTTCCAATCAAATATAATGTTTCCATGACATGGCCGGAGCTTGTGTCGCAGTGGGCTGGTAGAGGCTCATGGTTGACTATTTCACCAGTCATCAGACTGTACTCAAGCAACCAAATCTCATAGTCTGTCAGCAGTGGAAGCATTTGCTTCCATTCATCACGCCTTTCCTTGTAGGATGACCAACTTGCCAAATAATGCTGCCAGAACTCTGATTTATTGTTGTTGTCCAGCGTATCAGGGAAACCATCCGGTGATTCCAATTTCAAAGTTGTTGCCACCAGCTGACAAAGTAGCCGTGAGTTCTGCAGGATCAACGTCTGATGTCTATAGTGCTTGTTTGATTCCAAACGCTTGCGAAGTTGGGTTGGTCGTCTCTGGACTCCCCTGATATCCGACTGGATCCGCCGCCTTTTTTCCTCACCATTGGTTAGACTTTCCCAAATCATGTCTGGATTATTATTCCTTCCTCCATCACGATGTTCATACCGACGATCGGTTTTGGTGCTTTTGCCAACGAAGCTAGGATTCAAATGATCCATAGCTTTAGGTTGGCACTGCACGGGAACACCCGACCCATTCCCTCCCCGTCGGTATTTTGCTACTGGCTTGCTAGCCATGATTCCAGCTGCAATTTCAGTTTCGTATATGGACTCTTCGACAATCGACTCATGGGAGAAGTTGCATGCATGGACAATTATTCAAGCTTATTGCTATTTCGCGTGACATTCTGTAGTCGAAACCAGCCAACTGGGATACATCCAAGTCCCCCCAAAATTCTCTATTCAACTCAACTGCATCTGCCAAACTGAAGTCGATTAGATCAGACGGTGTTATCGTCAGCGTAATGATTGCATAAATCCGTTCTTGGAGTAACTGATTCTTCTTTCGGTACGTCTCACTTGACTCCCGGTTGACCTTGTCTAAATTCACCCTTTGTTTTCCTGATTGGCTGTTGTGATGGCAGTACTAGCAGTGGTCAAGTGCTGCTATAGTGGCAGCTGTAGCTGTAGTCACAGTCACATGATTTGACACATTCCTTTTTCTTTTGGTGGAGGTTGCCGCCAATAGTCTACCTCTCAGTGCATTGTATTCCTTTTGTGTTTCCCTTTGGAAGTACAGTATCCTTTCTTGAAAGTAGCTTTTGGATGTTGCGCTAAATGTGCCTTCCACTGTTATATGAAAAGTTTGAATGTATCCTTTGATACCCGATCGTTGTATTTCTTTTTGGATGTGGCAGCGCTGATTTGACTGTTGGCAGCCTTGGAAGTATTCATACTGAGCTGTGGGGATGGTGGATGAAGGGTAAAAGGATATGCTGCGCTTTGGTTTTGAGGTATCTCAGAAATGGACCTTTGTGCTACAAATGAATCTAGCTCAAGCTAGAATCATTTCTAGCTCAGCGAAATGCTGAATCTGGCAGACATGATGGCTGGCAAGGTAGTCAGGTCGCCCTGTCATTGGTTTGTAGTCTCCTGGCTGTAGTAGTACCCTCTCCTGGGTGTAGTAGTACCCTCTGATGGTAGCGGCGCGGCAGATGGCTGTTTGCTGTTGCTGTGGTGAATTTGGATCTTTTTAGGGCTTCTGGGTCCATTTGGTCAATTCTGGGCCCATGTGAGTCCTTTTTCCATGGCGGTAAGAGGTAAAGGGGTTCAATTCTTACCGTTTTGAACCGTTTTTTGCACTTTCCCCCCTTTTTTGGAGTTTGCCTTGAGTATCAGGTTGGATATAAGAGGTATTAAAGTCCTTAATGCCTAGCAGAAGGGGTCCATTTGGTGCTGCTGTTGCCGGTTTTCGCGGAATTCCAACATCCACTATGATATCAAGCTGGACTTTGGATCAATGTTGTCGACCCTCTACAAAGTAAATACTAGAGATGGAATACATAAAATAGACTAGTTTTAGACTCCTAAAGATGTTCTTAGTGGGTGGCCAAATTAACACTGGATGGGGTACTTTGTGGAGTCTATTTTCAATACGCCGCCTAGCGGACAGCTGAAACCGGTGTCTATACCTGCGCCGACTGCAGTTCGCTAGGGCATAACAAAGGGATACACATCGATCTGAGTCCTACCCTCACAGGCACCCTCATTGTCGAGTAGCTTCAAAACCACAATTATTATAACCTGGCTGTCATCATGGTAGACCAATCGATTCATCCCGTCCAATACAAACTTCAGCAGATTGTTAATGTCAGGAACAATCGGTCTCACAAAGGGAACTGAATTCTTCACAATACCTATCAATCTCCTACTGGCTTTGAAGTCACTGTTGGGTCGTCTCATCCAAAAGTGCACCTCCACTGTAACATGCGTACTAGTAGGAAACACAGCTCCATGTTGTGTGGCAGGGACCAGTTCTTGTACAGTCTTTCTGAATGCAGCCTTCTCCTTGCTTCCAGGATGGTACAGACATCACCTGCCCATTCTCATCATCTTTTCAGGGAGTGACTTGCCAGGAACCTCAAAGGACACCCTCATGGGCAGCGAATCTTCTTCTCCCACCAAGTCAATTACTTCTGCCATAGCTGCTACTACCACATTGTGGCTGCGGGGACCAGATGCGCGCATGGAAACAGCAGTACCATGCAGTGAGTCTTCTTGTGCTGCGTGACATGTGTATCATGTATTTGGTATAACTTTGCTTGCCTATGTACATGTTATTCATCAGGCTTTGGGTAACTTAGCCAGCTGCGAATTGTGTGCAGCTGTGGTCAGGGAAAGTTAGCCAAGGCCTTTCTCCATGACAAAAGCAGAATTCGCAAGCTCACTGGGAGCTTGTTCACTGACACATGATGTTCTTTGGTGACCAACTGGGAATACGCGACTCTGTATTTAGGGGGGTGGTGAGCAAGCATCCATGTACTGGCTATGCTGGCAGCATAAGTCAAGGGGGCATGGGCTGCCTCGCTGATTCGCGAGCACAACTGGCTTTGCATAAGGATGGAGCAACCAAAAACACCAAAAGTGATACCAACTGGGCCTACTAGCTAATAGCTAAAGAACCTCATTCCATTCGATTCGATTCGATTCTAAAGGAGTTTGAGTCGAGTCCTGTGATTCGTAGGATGAGACAATGCGAACCTGCTTGTGCCCTTCGCTCTTGCATCTTCTTCTTCGGATGCTCCAGTCCAGCTTGCTGTCCCAGAGCCCAGAGCAAAAGTCCAAAAGTACTGTGTACTGTGTAATCGTACCCTACCGGTAGAGGGGGAGACGCTGCGGTCACCATCCTAAGGTCACGCTCGATCGGTGCTGTCATTCTTGGCACAAAGACGCCTTTCATTGATTTAAAGCCAAATGCTCTGGAGAACATCCAGTCTTACGCTGGATGACTACTTCACCAAGATGTTCCATTTGTTAATGCCTTTAGTTCCTCGCAGATTTAAGCCTATCCACAATTGGAGGAGAAGATGAGAACTCGAGTGCCAACATGCTTGCCTTGATCGCCAAAAGGTGTCCATTCAATTTCGACTGTCAAAGTTTTGTGTGACGTGGTCACTCGGTGGTCATAGTTGGGTTGCCTTTATTGGCAGCGCTAATTGTTGAAAAGAAAATGGGGGGACTTGGATTAATTAATGTGATCAATTGGTTTGTAATAGGGTCATAAAGGTCGCGGCATGAGGAATGCCACTGCAGCACAGCGGTTCGAGTTTTCCATGCTATTCCGCGATTCAATTCACCGAAGGTCGGAACACTTTCGACCCACAACGGCCACCACTCACAATTTTCGCTCAGGGACACGATCGAAGGTGCTACCGAAACAACACGAACTAGCTAGACTACGACCGCTCTCTCTTTTTCTCATCTAGCTAGCCAAAGTGTTCCATTTGCAATACTTACCAACCAACTATGATGATGCCAAAGCTAGTTCGTTTCGGTGAGACAAGCAAGAGATGTGTCCCCTCGTTGGGTTTGACGAGAGCAGAACGCAAGGCTCTGTGGTTTTCCAAGTCGGAAGTGAAGGCATTTCGTCAAGAGGCATCACTGGAGGAAAGCAACAACAACAGTGGTTATTACGGCTCTCATCAACAAGAACAACGGCGAAGATACATTAGCTACGTGCTACAGATGCAAGCAGCTAATCGACACAATGGAATGGAGGATTCAACGGGGTTGGCGGCACTGGCTGTTGCGCACAGTAAGAGTGCCGTGGAAAAGGCTCGCTTTCGGGCGGTCAAGGGTGCCGCGGATGTGCAAAAGACGCACGACGCCACTGCCACCACTATTACACGACAAGCACAACAACAGCAACAACATGTTCCAGAAGAAGATACCGATGATTTGAAACCCACGCGCTGTCAAAGCCGAAGAACACGAGTGGCCATCAATGCACCACGACGAAATCGAACTGCTGCCAACATGGCCTGAAGAGAATTCGATATTCTTCTCTAGAAGTACCGTACGACAGTAGCTTCCTCGTCAGGTTTTTGTTACCATCATTCTCTCCCATTCCAAAATGCCAGCAAATTCGTTAAATTTGCCATGTAAAACTAATAATTATAACCAGACAACCTTTGTCATGCACTAGACCACATACATACATGTACCTAGCTAGCTCAGGAAGGTGTTCAATTGTAGCTTAACGACTCAGGCCCCACTCCAAGAGATAGGACATCTGTATAGTGAGCTGGGTGGGGACAACGTGAGCAGCAGCAGAGGAATTGATCCTACTACTGACTACCTGGCGAAGCAAAAACTAGAGGGCAGAGAGCTACATGTATGTAGTTTGGTAATTGACACCTTTTGTGCAAACAACTGGAGCAACGTGACGACCAACTTTTCCGAGAGGGGAGCTTGTGCAATGGTGATTCGATTGATCATTCTGGACCCATTCCCACGCCTTTGCATACACAAACACACACGGCTAGAGGTGCCGTACCGGTACGATACCGGTACGTTGTGAGCCCAGCTCTTCATTCTCAACTCAACCAGTAGAATTCCATGGACTTATGCTGATTCTTCATCGTATTGTACACAAACCTTGGTGTCTCCAGATGGAGGTTCAAAGCACCATTGCTTCATGGGCGTTTGTCTGTCAGCCACTAGCTAGGACAACCATTATTCAATGGAATCCAGCAGGCATCTCCCAGCAGCAGCATGGCAAAATATCCCTGCATCCCATTGACAGCAATTAATTTTTATGGCCAAAATCAAGCCATTCCAAAGCAGCATATTCAGCATGCATTGATTGTTTTCTCAGACGAGACAGCCATTTTCATGGGTTTCATCGGCTCCAAATGGAAACAATTATCATCGCTGAAGCATGAAATTCTTGGGCTGCGTTCGTGTGGTCTCATTCGTGGCCTTTTTCAAAAGGAGATCTCACTACCAGTAGATATCTCAGCATTCATGTTGTGTCCGACCGAGCTCTTCATCATGGTTCGCAAGAGAAATTTTAGAAGGGCTTCATGGGTCAGCCGTGGTTCAGCGTATGTTCATTTTTTTTAAAAACCTTGCAGGCTGATTTTGGTCCCACTCACGTTTCATAACTCGACAACAATTCGAATGATTTGATTCGATTCAATTCGACTCGGCTTGCTCGGACAGTCAATTAATGCGGCCAAGCTGCCCTCTTCTTCCGGCTACCTGTACTGTACATGTACTGACCTCTGAAATTTTCAGGTTTGGTCGGCAACTGCAGTTTATAGAGGCAGAAATTTCCGACAGCATCAAGCCTCTGCCATGGCATAGCTAGCTGGCATCGCAAGCACCTGTGTTTGTGCTAGTAACTGTGGCTTCAAGGGGGTTACTGAGCTGGCACAGGTTCGATTCCTGATAGTTGGCTTGGGGGGAGTTATCTACTAGCAGTAGCGTCTACTGTGTGGTGGATGGTCATCCATGGCGGAGCCATGGCGTGGTCACAAGTTGTTGGACTACTAGTAGACTGCAGCTGACCGGCATTCCACAATGTGGGTGCTGGAGTCCGGCTTTCCACAATGTGGAGGCTGGAATTTCACTGGGTTGGACTAACCCATGGATGTTTCGGAATGCAAACAGCATTTCGGATTTGCAAGTGAGGCTGCTTGACTCACTGCGTACTGGAGTTCCAGGGGACACCTGGAATGTCCTCATTGAAGGTTGCCCCCGCGACGATCGAGGGGTGCAACCACTGAGTGCGTAGCCAGCGCACATGCTCCTTTTGTCTTTTGACTCATTGGTCAAAGCATGGTTGCAATCTGTTCACTGCCAAATACCAAAGCTGCAGTTGTGGCGGCTAGCTCGCTGGATTGGTTAGAAGCTATAGATTGCTTTTGCCAACTATATGAAGTCGTAAAGTATTGAATCGAATCAGTAACTTGCAAAGTTTATATCTTGCTTAGCGGGTGGGGATGATGCATTCGTTTTAGTGATACACAAGACGTGCGATGGTATTATACAACATTCGGCTGGCTTCAATGTGAAGAGGGATAGCTTTTCATTTGGGTTGATGGCAATGAATGACCTCAAGCTGATGCTGCTGTCATTGGAGGCTTTGTCAGGGCGACATTCAAAAAGATCTGGTCAATGTGTTCTTGCCCGAGTACTGCGGAAGAGCAGTCTGCAAGAGGAAGATGAACTGCTTCTCCTTCCAGCATCTGCAAAGTTTCGCATGAACACTGGTATTCACCGAGCTCAAACTGAATCTGAGCTGAGTTGTTCAGAGCTACCAGTAGAAGCGCACCGGAGCAAGCCGATAGGTCGGATATCAGCTGAGTGGACAGATCATACAGCGAGAGCGCTTTTCGAAGCGCTTGTTCCCGGCCGCATTGGAGCCCCCGTTGGTGAAATGCCAATGCCAGGTTAAACAAAATGACAGAGTTTACAAATGCAATGTCAATGTCGGTGGATGCCTCGAAAACGAGTCCATTGCTGTAGAGATAGAAGGGAGTTTTCATGCCGTGAATGGGGACAGGGGAACAGGCATGGATCCTGGATTGAAAAAGCTGTGAAGATTCTGGATGCTGTGTAACTTGGGCCATGACTCCCAGGGCTTGCTTGAAAGCCCTCACAGCATCAGCCCCGGACCCGGAGGCCAAACAAGACACACCAACCTTGTTGAGGTGCGCAATTTGTTGCAAAAGATCAAAGCAAACACTCATGGTGGACGTTTCTTGTGTGTGGGTTATCAGTTTCGTGGAATGAAAATTGTGAGACTCTGATCTGATTTGTTTTTGTTTTTGGTTTTCAATCATATCTTTCTGCTGTGCTCTATACCACCAAGGCCCACTGCACTAGCTAGCAGCAGGAAGCAATTACGCTCGCTGGAGTTGAAGATCCTTATTGCCCAGGCCATGCAAAACTTCTTTTCTCGGTGGGTCCCTACCGTCACTTAGTAGACGATGCTCCAGGCAACGACCAAGCAAGTGGGAAACGAGCACCGATGAAATAATCATTGGGGCCAGAGGCATTTCTCTTGAGAGTTCTTCATCCCGCTTGTACCACTGGATGACCGACTGTACATGAGTGAAGGGGATGTCTGCCTATTGCTCCAGTGATCTACTCCAGTACCAGCCAGCAGCAAGTTTCACACTTAGCTTTCACACTACCGGTATTTGAGCTAGATACTGTAAGTGATTTGCATGACATTGCCTGCAACACCAGCAGAGCTTTCTTCAAGGTGTCAGCCCTGATCTTGGCCATCTTGAGCTCAAGGAGCAATTGGGCTATAGCACGGCCATTGGTAGGAAGGGTACCGATTTCTTCAACGAAGTCCAGCAGAGAATTCGTAGCTCGCTTGTCACTTGCTGGCTAGCTGGCTAGGCCATATCCAGTATTACAGCAGTTATTACAGCAATATCAGTACCGATATTCACTGGGTGGTATTGTGAAACTGGATACTAGCCAGCTAGAGCTAGAGGCTAGAGTACTCTGTATGACACATGGGCTGGTGGCTGGAGGGCATTAAATTTTGGTTTCAAGTGTGAAGGTTGCCGGTACAGTATCATAGTAGAGGATAGAGGAGGTCATCGTTTAGATGTATTGTGAGGGACCACCCAGCGAAAGAAGGGCAATGCTTTTTTGTTCACTTTACGTTCCCATTCCCAGTCATTATGGTTCTTGTGGCTTGTGCAGCTCTTGTAGCTGTTCTTGTCCAGCTGATTGCAGCGTCGGCAACAGAACTCTGATGAGGCTATCTTGTACTCTGGAGTTGCGGGAATACCTATTTTTCATTTTCCCTTGGGAAGGTACAATTTCTTTCTTTTGAAAGAAAACCACACTGGGAACCGGACTGAAATCAGAAGAATGAACCAGGCATGGCTCAAAGTGGAAGATGCACAAAGAACTGCTCCAAAAGCTCATTCCCACAACTCCCCCAACTTTTCTGCGTGGAATGGCTGCGCTAGTATTCGGTCGACGGGATGAAGGCAATTGGAGAAACCACTGAAAAGATGGAGATACCTACCAGCGGTACAAGAGCACCCTGGAATGGTGGAGGGGTGGATGGGTGGATGGGGGAGAGGCCAAACACTGAGCGGCACCTCGGAAAAAGAAGCTAGCTACCTCCTCCTTGTGGCGACATTTTGGTCCAAACAGACCGCAATGTAGAGAATGAGCCGGAAAACAGTGCATTCGGAAGAAACATTCTCACTGACTTTTATAGGGGCTCCATCGTTGGATGCATGGATGCCAGTACGATGGAAAGTGAGTGTTGTCTTCACCTGTATGGACATGAATATGGTAACAGTTACACTCGTACACTCGTACTAACGAGTAAGTCAAGACCAAGCAGGCTGTACGGTGACATCCGAGTTGAATCAGACTAAGTGCCCTTCAATGGCTCCTCCAATTGCCTTGACAAGCAAAGGGGACAAGATGCAAAATTGAAGTACATGTAGTAAAATTGATATTTCGAAAACCAGCTGGGCAGTTGAACTCTACTAATCAAGCAAAACTTGCCAATCGGCGCATACTGGTAGTGATGCAACCGGCCTCCATTTGCGTGGGTTACAAGGCTAAGCGGTGCCGACCGGTGTAAGGAAAGGTTGTGGGCTGCGGTATCTTGGCAAGCCATAAATCCAACGGGGCTAGCTAGAGAGCCACCTTCTTGGCGTTGGCTGTTCAGCCAAGAGTTCAATGAGAAAGATGAATGATCGAAAGAAGTAACGAGAGGCAAGCCCCCTTTTGCAAAGATGAATGATCGAAAGAAGTAACGAGAGGCAAGCCCCCTTTTACATGTCGCCTCTCTAGGCTTTTCGAAGCAGCAATACTGCAATTGCTCTGGCACAATCAGGCTCTAGCTAGAGTCACTGTACTTTAGCTTGGGGCGACAAGAGCTCAGCGAAAAGCGGCGGCTAGCTATCTAGGGAAATAGATGACTGCTTGGAGTGGGATCAATTCTTGGCGACAATGAAGGCAGAGCTCGTTTCAATGCCCACGATCGAATAGGCCTACATCGATGCATGTTCCTCCATGTGCAACAGGTTGTTGCTGATTCGGAACCCAGGCCACTGTGCTTGAACACTGAGTCCCAGAATAAATGATCATATTAGTCTTCGGTTGCTCACTTGCTTTCTTGTCACGTAGCCTTTGATGCAAGAGATCATTTGACTTGACTTTTCCAGGTCATAGATCCAAACTTGAAGATTAGGGAAGCAGGCTCTCAACCAAAGAGGGAGCAACACCTGACCACGGTGCTACAGCCAATCAAATGCAACAAAAGTTCGTTTACTATTATTACTATATTTTAAAACATACATCATGATCTGCTCGACGACTTTTGATCTCCTGGGGACGATGGTTACAATGGTTCAGCTTTTACCATCATACGAACCAATGACTTGGTAGTATTTGATGTCATGGTTTGTCTTCATGAAACGGTAATGTCTATCCTCGATGTATGCGCTCAGCTCTGGAGTACAATCTTTCATGTCCTTGATACAGCCAAGTTTTATATCCAATGCGATTTGCGACATGCCCACTTCAAAATGATGTCCGTACTTTTGGACCATGTTGAAGAAGAAATTGCGGTGCTCATGGTCTAGCGGATACGATATTCGAATGACCTTTCCATTCAAGCATACCAGCAGGCTTCCGTCGTTAGGTTGATTGGGAAATTTGGTAAAGCGTTTCCCTACCGGTGGATCTGCAAAGGACAGATATTGGCTGGGGAACGTTCTGGGTTGACGGTCGTGGTCTTTGAGGAACTGGATATAATTGGGGTCGACGCCAAAATGCTCGGCACCTGCAATAAGAATCTCCAAATACCGTTCATGCGGTGGTTTGTTTTCTTCCTCCTTGTTTGCGCCTTCTGGTCTGCAGTAGACCGTGACGTCCACCAGTTCATTTGTAGTAGAACAGTCCTTCCCGTACGGTCTCGCCTTGCCCAATCGTCGAATGTACCCTGCTTCGATTTTGTCTAGTTCTCTCATTTCCTCTATGCTGACAAGATGCATCACTCCGTGCAACGAGTCTCCTGGAGATGGAATGGCTTCGGCAAACCCTTGGCAGCTAAAGAATCCCAAACGGTAATCGAGGAGCTCAGCTGCTTGGCTCTGCTTCGGATGAAAGCCTCGTACTTCATAGGATTGGGGTAGCATCATGGAGCCTATTGCCAGATACCAGACATAGCCGTCCAAGGCGGCAGCGTTATAGTTGCACATGGTGGTTGTTGTTGTTGTTGTTGTTGTTGTTGTTACTGCTGTAAATTTTAAGTTCTTTCCCTAACAAGGATGTGTACCAGGTAGCGGGGAAGCAACACCATCATGCTGGGTCGCGTCGTCGGAGAGCTGCAAATTTGCACATCACCGTGTGATCCTCAAAGGGAAGTACCACCGGTGTGTGGCAGTGATGTCATCGCTCCCACAAAGCGGCCTGAGGTTGGCAGCAAGCCGGAAGAGCTGTAATGTTTAAGGAACGCAGAGCTCAAAAGAAGTGTGACCGCACCGGTTCTTTCACACGACCAAAAGGAACCAGTTTGTGCGGGAGGCGCAAATACCATGGTACCAGGTACCAAGGCTCACTCTCCACGCAGCTCTCACACGCAGAATGAGCCTCCGTCGAATGGACCCGAGAGCTGAAAATTGACGGATTTTCGTGTGGCCAGGGTGACGTTGTGTTGGATTGAAATCATCAAGTTGCCGATCATTCATGTGAAATTCCACAATCAGCCATTTCAGTAATAATATAATCAAAATGAGGGATGAAAAAGTCACACAACCGAAAAGTTAACCCAGAGTAAAGCCTGTGTTTTAGCGATTCCCCAGTTTGTGAGTAAACTTACTTAGTTCAGTCACTTTTGCTAAAATCGTATAATGATGAGGGCTTGTTTGTTGTCGCTGTTCTTGGCAGTTACAATCTCGTCCGCAATGGCAGGGAGGCATGTGTTGAGCGTGGAACCGTACCTGGCAGAATGGTGCGTTGACCAGTTTCCTGACCAACTCAGCGGTAGCTGGAGTGGGCAAGCCATGGCAGCCATGATTCGAGATCGCAGCTATGCGCTCGTGGAGCCATTTCTTGGCCAATCCTGCTTTGATATCTACGGCAACAAACATCTGAAAGATCAGAAACGTGAAGAGACGAAGAGACTCTACGGAAGATGCATCAAAAAGACAAGCACATTCAAGTAGAACCGTTTTTGGAAAGTTGGGGAGAGAAGGCCATGCTGTCCACTCCAGGGGGGCTTACTATTCCTGAAGTCGAGACCTATATCGCAGAGTGGTGCGTCCAAGGTCAGTTTCATCGGCTATTTCACAAGAACGAAAGGGAAGAAGAATTGGACCATGTCAAAAGGTTTTCGGTCAAAATCGAAAGTCGCACTGGGGCGGTGGTGTTTTGCACAGTTTCCCAACGAACTCGGCAACCTCGACGAGGGCTACTACGCCAATCAGTTGAAATATGATCACATTAGTGTGGAAGACTATTTACTCAGCCAAGTGTGAGATTGCCAACTATCACATGCGAAGTGCTCCTACCACACAAAACGAAAAGTCAAATCTTCATGGGCCTCAATGGTTCCTTTGCTCCTGTACATAATGGGAGCCGTCGTTGGGTGGGTTTACATCAAGAAGAATCCTCACGTCATGCCGGAAGTACAGCAACGACTTCAACAGCTCTTTCCGCCAAAGCAAACGCCTCTCAATGAGGTTGGATTTAACGACTACGGCCCGCTGTCGGACGCCCCACCACAAGCCACAGTACCGGTACCGGTAGCTTAGTAGAAGTTGAGTGTTGTGTCCAGTCGACTCGCCTCGACTCTATACTAGTATCAACGCTGAATGTTTTCAGCCATCTAGCTAGAAAGTAGCGCAAAGCAAGCACTTCTTAGAGATCACTTTGTTTTCAGACGGAGGTCAAAACCGCAGATCACTGTCCTGCCTCTGAGCTGCAGCCGTATTGTGGATGTTGTCATCTTCAATGGAGAGCAAGCAAATCCAAGCTCGAGGGTCGTCAATGGCCCCAGATCAGCAAGCCGTGGGAGAAATACGGAGCCAGAACACTGCAACGAAGGGTTGCATCCATGCAGGTCGGTGCAAATGGCCAGAACAATCAGGACAGCCCAAGCTAGCAAGGACTGAACTCGTGGATTGTCTTCGTGACTGATCAAACCTGAAAGGTACGTCATAGGACATAGGGGCCGTGCTCTCGCTGAACATTCATCGCGTTCGCATGTTCGGATCCACGTTGCTGGGTGCTGGGTACGAGACCATGGCTTCTGGCTTGACACCTCGGATCCTACAGTATCCGGTACATGTACAGTACTGGTACCAGCACCTCACCAGTCAAGTTGTCTGTAAGCGCCTCACTCACAATTAAGATAAATAGGTTTAGGATACCCAGTCCTCAACAACTTTACAAAAAATGTTAACCTGGAAAATGGGTTCCAGCAAGATAAGCTACGAGTACGAGGTCTCAAATCCTAGCTAACATTATGTGGGGACGGAATGCAGCTAGTACCCACTATCTTTGACATCACCATCTACATCGGAGTGCCTTCTCTAC